CGTCTCGTCTGCGCGCTCTACCAACAGCTAATAATACTGAACTGCTTGTAGTTTATCTTTCTGCTCCTAGATCGCAGCACCCACTAATTTCGCGTAAAAACTTGAGACGATTAATCGAAACGCAGCATTGTGCGCAGATTCTTTCATGTGCTCAAGATTTCTCTTTCACCATGGCACTCCTCATAACCGACCTCGGAATAAACAAAACATTAGTGGCAGTCCATAAATTAAACTTATTTTTATCCATGATTTCCGCCATTATTTGAAGTACTTTGTAACACGCCTTCTGGATGTCGCATGGGAATATATTACTTTGCACATTTTAATTGGATTTTAGAATATAGATCAATATTTAACACTCTTCGTAATACAAAGATTCAATAAAAAGAGAAGGGAAAAAATTCCATTTATTGTTACAATTTACACACAAAAATTTTAATTTAATTTTTTAAAATATCAGTTAATATTTAAAGGATTTAGCAAAATACTGAAAAAATGAATTAATTCGCAAAATGTTAAAAAATGATGTTATGTAAGACTAAACAAATGGCACCCCACCCCCCACCCCTATGTAACACACCGTAATGTATGGAGAACCCCTTGCAGTACTTTCTTTCTTTGTTATTCAATGTCAGCCCTGCATATTGTAGTGGTCCTTTAGTATAATATAGCTCAATTTAGTAAAAATTAATACATTTATTATTTAAAACATATTGTGAGTGTATGAATCAAAATATCTGATATTTGGAAAAAAATATTTTTTTAAACAATTGTCAGATTTGAGAATCGTATATGGGAGATTATAAAAATGTACAAGGTGTTCAAAAATGACTTAAAAATCATCGTTCGTCCAAGAAATCAGTTAATATTACTTTAAAAGAGACTACAAACTTACCAATAATATTGACAATCTTTTTGAGATTCTTTTTTCTTTTTCAAAGAATTTGAAAGTGTTTTAAATAACATAAATAACGCATCTACCCCAGGAATAGATAATATACTTAATAAAATGGTAAAAGTTTAATTTTAATCGGAATTTTTAAAAATAGTGGTAATTGATCTTCTTAATGATGTCTTCAGAACTTTAACTTTTCGAAAACAATGAAAATATTATCTCACTGCATTTATTCCTAACTCCAATATCGAGTTTTTCCCCTGTCTATGGTCATTGTCTATTAAAAATGTATGTATAATTGTTTGTCCAGGAACTTTAAATAAAATAAATTGCTTTTCCATCTCAATATGGATTCAGAGAGGTAAATCCTGTGCAGATAATCTATAATATTTCTATTCTCAAAAGATTTCTTTCATACATGCTCACATACATGAAAGTTTTTATTAAAAAGTCTTGAAACTTCATCCTTACACAAAAGGAACTGTTAGGAATTTCATTCTTCTGAACTATATATATTGTGTTGAGAATCTTTGGTTCAAGGGCTCATTATTCAGTGATGCCACCATAAGAAGAGCAGAAGTTCTTAGGCTTAGTGTTTACCAAGATGTATGAAATATCTTACACTGTGTGTTTACAAGTTCTTCTGGGTTCAGAGTGTATCATGTACACACACACGTAGTTTACTCATTAAATAATGTTTAGAGTCTACCTCTTTAATTAATGCCTAGCATACCATTTCCTCACACAGGAACTTTTGACAATATTGTTTCTATTGTTTTCATTAAGAACTTAGTTGAAATGGGTTTACCATAAATCACATTTGTTTTTTCTTGTTATAATGTATAAATAGTCACTTTGATGCATTTATGTTGTTCATAAAATTCTGACTATAATAGATAGAGATTTTAATGTATTACTAAGAATACAAATAGTTTTCTTCATTGTAAGATAATGTAAGTACAATTTGAACCAAATACAAGCAATATTAGTAATATAAGTACATAAATGTAGCAGAATAATAGCATTTGTAAGTTGTTTTCTGTTCACCATTACAGTTTGCAAGATATAATGAAGTAGATTGTTAGTTTTTGGAACATTTCTGAACATCAAAATTCAATTCCTAATAAGTAAATCTCCATAACATTAAAGTAAACAAGAAATCTGTGAGTATTATAGAATCTTAAATGTTCAATAATACTCACTAAATAACTATGTAAAAACATGAAGATAATAATACCAAATTCATATAGGGTAAAATTATTTTACAGATATTTTTGCTAATGGTAACTTTATAGCCAACTCAACATTCAAAATGAATTGTTAAAAGGGACTTCAAACAAAGTGCTTTTGCAACAAACTAAAAACTGTTAATTTAGACAGAAAGAGAAAAACCTTTCTTGAGATACTTACTTTGTTGGTTATTAATAGTTTTGTAAATTTACCATACATTTTAAACTTTAGACTTCCCATGTTGGGCTGACAGAATCAGTGAAGTGTCTTCATTGAGTTCTTTCTTCAGGCATAATCAGAATAAATTGATAAACTCACTCCTAGTTGTCATAATTGGCAACAGGTAATACAGAATGATTCTTTGGTTTCTCAATAATTAAAAATAAATTTTATTTGCTTCATCAATTATGCTCTGTAAAAGTGTTATCTTCTTAATATGTTTTCTGATGAACTTTAATTATTAATCCATAATTTCTCATACCTGAGTTTACAACTAAAGTCTCATATTCAGTGCGTCACTGCTTACAATACAGCTGATGTCATGTGAACAGGAAGAGACAATGTTCAGTATTCACATGTGCCATTTCAGAACTGAATTTTTGCTGCTCCAGAACTTCATTTACCACACACTCAGTAGCAGCAATTTCGTTGCGACAGTCCACTATTTTCTAATACATTATAGCTGGTTTTTTTTTCATATTCATCCTATCAAACACTGCAAATGTAACTAGTATAATTTAAAGTACAGGTTGATCCTGTGCAAACATTTTATATCTTTTAAATGATTGCTTAAAAGTGAAAATTGCTTCATATTGCAACCCACCTATGAGCATTTCTGACAGCTTACAATGCTGTCATGGAATATCTTTCAAAAACAGTACATTGAAAAATATCTCATTTTGTCAATAGATCTATTTTACTGCCATTTTTGTTTGTTTGTTTGTTTGTTTTGTTTTTTCTACGTTTCAATTTTTCCCCCACTAATAGAAAAAGGGATACTTCAAAGCATAGTGCACGTCTTATTTGTGTCAAACTCTCTGAATTTTTCAAAATTGCCAATTTTGAAATATATTTTTAATTAAGCAGTGAGAAAATGTATTCTGTTGTAACCTAGTTACATTTGTGTTATGCATGTCAATTAAAACAAATCATTTACTTATTTATTTACAGACTCTTATCCAATATACAAAGTGTTATATATGAATTGTGTTAACATATGAATAGGATAGCTAACAAAATAACAATGACATAATTAATCTCATAATATCAAATTCAATAATACCATTATATATTGATTAAAAAGTGACAGCTTATTTTCCGCATCTCTTGTAAAGTTTGAATTGGAAGGTTCCCAGAGATAAATATAAAGGTTATTTGCTAATTTACACATCTGTGAAATCAGATTATTTGATAGCAGTGTGTAGTTTAAGCAAAAAATTATTATTTCTTCTTGAAGCAGAGGGAACACAAAACCTCAATTGCTCAATTGCAACAAAAGTGGAGAATCAATCACCCCATTAACTAATTTGTATAAAAAGTGTAGATCACAATGAATATAGTTTCTTAATGAGGAAAAAAAGGGAATACCTAACAGAGACAAATTAATTAAATATTCGTGATTCTTTAATTGATCACATAAATGTAAGCGATTTGATGCAGTTTTAAAAAACTTATATTGGACGGTTTCTAATTTTTGAACATAGCTTTGAAAAGAGGGGGCTAGCTACTGATTAATACATCAAAATAGGTTTGACTAGCATGAGGATCGTGTAATACACTACAAGTCCTTTAAAACCCAGTAGAATTGTTAGTAAAACTGAATTCATCAAGTAGTCGTGTACAAAAGGAACACTAAATGTTGAAAAAGTAATAGTTTTATTGGGATTTAAAACAAGATCTTTACTTGTACACCATTTAACAAATCTATTAAGTGTATTTTGTAATGTGACTGTATCATTAGAGCATTCAATTTATTTTTTTTAATTTACAGTCATCTGCATAAAGCATAAATTCTGTTATTTAGATTCTAATATAGATAATTTATTACAATATAAAAAGCAGTGAATCAAGATGGGGCTCTTGCGGAACACAGTTAATACGTTGAAGCTATCTGAAACAATGTTTCCATATTTAACAGGTTGAGTTCTATTTGTTAAGTAGTTTGAAAACCTTTGCAATAGAGAACCAGAAATACCAACCGCTTTTAGTTTCTGTAGAAGTAGTAAATGGTAGTAAAGGGCTTAAAATGTGAGTTGTTGATTCCATATGCACGTGTTGTTTTCCTTAAACCACAACCTGCTAAATTCTTTTCTTTTTTCCCTCGTTTTTCTTTGTCAAAATTATGATTTAGTCAATTTTCAAAATGCTTGCACTTCACCTTTGGAAGTGATCAAACAGATTCAATGGCTAATAAGCAATTTTTAGAAATAATTTTGGGAAAATGGTTTAACTTGGTTTTCTGTTAAAAGCAAATCTAACACCAAAAAGAAATCAATCAGTACTTAAGTATATCATTTAATTCTTATGAGTACTGTAAAGAAAATCAGTTAAACATTCACGAAAATTCTAAAGTTCAAGTGCAAAGTATTCTTAATATTTTGCATTGTAATGTTTCAGGATGGGGTTTGGAATGGTATCACTGAGATTCATAAATGTGTTCCCGTCTTCCGTTTTGAACCAAAACCCAAAGGATTCAAGTAATTTGTTTTCAACAGTTGAGTTTTCAATGTATCATGATGCAAGCTCTATCGAAAATTATTAATATGTTGAGGGGTTGTTATATTGAAAAAGGAAAATTACCAACACATTTCTTAAAGTTTCTGCACTTTTTTCTGTTTCAATGTTTTTTGGGGTAAAATTCACTGATATTCCTCAAAATGATTCCAATTTACTTTATTTGTCCTAACATAAAATATGGTTTCCATAAATATCTCATTGGAAAAATACAGAGCCTCAGAACTGCACACTGAGATCCATTGGACCCCCAAAACATTTCAAAGTCACACCCAGAAGAAACTTATGATGTCAGCTGCATAGTGCTACATGTAAAATTGAATTAAAGTTAGCTTGCTCTCGAACTTCTTAGTCTTAGTTGGTAACAATACTTCACCAAGAATAGAAGCTAATTCATCAGTGGTGCAACTAGAGTTACTGGAACCTAGTGTGTAGTTTCTCATTGTTCTGCACACAAATAATAAAATAGAAATTGTAAACTTTTTATGATGTATGATGATATCTATCTGATGTAACAAAGGGAATTCTTAACATTTTTGTTTCATCTGCATTCTTGTGTGATGTAATTTCAATGGGTACCATTCATTCTGATTTGATCTCAATAAAATTTGATCTGAATCTGAAGAAAGATTACAAGTTTAAAAAATTTTATTTTTTAAACTCCATTTTTGTGTTTTTTTCCTTGCTTTCTTGCATTATCAAATGAAAATAAACTAAAATAGTAACACACTTTTGAATCATCCATAATTTTCTGAATCTTTTGTAACATGAACTATTTTTGGCATCTGTGTGACCCCAGTACGCAGTTTAGGTAACAAAATATACATGTGTGCAGTTGCAGGGTTAAACCTAATAGTCAGTTTTTTTCCTTACCTTTCCTTGTCAAAAAACTCAAACATTGACATAAAATACATTGTAAATGTGATATAAAATATATTTAAAAAATATAATTAAAAAATTAAAAACATATTTTTATTTTTTATATATTTTAAACACATAATATTTGCGGACGTAATCAAATCCATTGCAGATTTGGCGGGTGATTCAGACCCAGTTGTACGAATTTGGAATCAGCGAGCAGGTTTATATAAATAAAAGATATAGCTGAATATAGTCAAAATAAATTTTATGCCATGGAAACATGAGAAACACCTTGTTTTACAACTAGCCCCCAGAATATTTGAAGGAGTCCATAAAGCAAGATTCTGAAAACAAATAGCATTTTAGTGAGTAAAAAAGCAGCAAAAACTGAATTAAACTTGTTGAGATATTGTTATAAGATGTGTTTGACAAGAAGACCATTTTCAGCAGAACCGGATTCTTGGTTCAAGTTTGATGTCTAAGAATCTGCATTTTGTAAAAAAAAATTAAAAAAGAAAACAATAAAATGGGGGGAAAAAGCACTTTCATTTGCAACAAATCAGAATAATTTGAATAATCCTTAGAAAAAATTCCCAATCTACCCTATCCTCTTCTCAACTTATTACAGGTCAGGTTTGAGTCTAATCTCTTCAGCAATAGGAAACTCTGGACACCACACACATCTTATTATGATAATGTATTCTTGATGGCTTACTAAAAGTGCACTGACCCAGAATGTGGTTCATGGTTTCTGTTGCTGTATTACACTTCCTGCAATATACTTCATTTCTGGGCTTTCCCCTACTAAGAGTTGATTTATTGGTGTTTATTCTCAATTGGAATACCATGACAAATCACCAGATTTCAGAAGACTATAGTCTTTCAAAAAGGCATTTCCAATTGGATCGTTTATATTGGAGGAAGTAATTCACTATACATAGGAGCAAGCATTTTAACTTTTATCCACACTCATCAGTGACCAACAACATGGATTATTGTGTGAAAAATCACCAGAGTCACTGCAGCAAATAGTTTCGCTTTACTATACAAGTGGTATGAAAGAGTAAAAAGAAATAAAAGACACTTATATTGTTCACACCCTCGTGTATCTTCATCAACTGCAATTATTGTGCTAAGCTTGACTGTTTCTCATATATTTAAATCATGGAAAACTTCCTGAATATTGTAGACACTTTCAGCAATTGCCTATCAAGAATGATCCCTTTGGGCGTTTCCTTCCTCTGTTTGATTAGAATTTTTTTAAAAACATATGTAATGTATTTTTAAGGTACATTAACCTATTATTGGAAATATCATATCCTTGATTTGTATTTTTAAGTGTTTCATTACGTTTCCTTTTGTACCAAAAATATTATAGTTAATGTTATCCATACATCCATTTAGATTTAAAAAAGAAAAATAAATTTAAACACTCAAACAACCATTTAATAACGTATATACAAAATACACTCACAAGAACAACTGTCTCTTCTCTATGACAAATTCTATTCTTGCAGTTAGTCTCAGATCTAATTATACAGAAGATTTTTTGGTCACAAGGAAATGTTGAAGCACAATGTTTGCTCGAAGCAATGTTGCAACTCATAGAAAAAATAGTTTTTCTTAGTATATAGACATCATATCAAAAAGGTATTTCATAAATCATAGCAGCACCAATTTTCACTAACAAGAATCAGCTCAGGATTTAAGTTTTGCTAACTGAGCTTCAATGTCATCATCAGTTACTGCTGCTCGTGAAGATTCTCCTAATTTTCCTCGAACTGGTCCAGGAGCAGCTGCCAATTTACCTGATGTTTCAATACCAATCTCGTCAAGCACTTGTTGCACAATAAGATCCCCTTCTTCTTCATCACCTGACTCAGTAAGCATGTCATCCAAGGTATCATTAACTGTAACAAAATATATACTTTTTAATTTTTATGGTTGTAAGTAATTGTTGAATGAAAAATAAAATAAAATAATTCAGATCACGAAAAAAAAAACAGCATTTAAAATAATTTTAAGAAGTGCAATTTTAGTCAATCATCATACTATTTATTTATCTTTAATTCCTTCATTAATAAATTCATATTTGCTTCTGTTTCTGATACTAAGTTGAAACCAAAATTTTAAGGACATTCATTATAGATGGATAAAACAGAACGCAGTAACCATTTTTTATTGCATAACATTTATAAACAGATTTGCATTTCACAAGAAAATTACTAATATTAAAAATTTAAGGATAAAACTGAAACTTACTCATTTCATCTGTCATATCTAATTTCATCATTTGTTGACTAAATGCTTTAGTGTCAGCTGCTATTTTTTCAGGTTTCATTAAAGCATTCATCTGACCCATAGTTTTAGCAGTTGTACTCATTGCATCAGCAAGCTTGATATTAGCACCCATTGTCTTGTTTTGAGCTGCTATGCCACTTATCTAAAGGAGAGACATAATCGATGAAACTATGGACCACATTTAAAACACAGCATTTTGTATGGTTCATGAATTTGTAATAACATTATTGTTAGAGAACTAAAAACAATTATTCTGTTTTACCTTACTGTTGACAGCATAGGTTCGGGTCTTCTGTTTCCTCAGCTGAATCAATTGTTTTGCCAAAATTGTACAACCTTCTTTGTTTCCTTCTTTTGCCATTTTTTTAATTTCCATTTCCTACAATTAACAGTAAACTTATGATGTACTATTTACTTAAGTGGATAACGCAAGTGTCAAGATCCAAGTGTCATACCAATTTCTTCTCTTCCCTCTCCAGTTCCCTGCGATCTCTTTCAACATCTCTGCCGACTTTCCTTAATGCTCTGTCATTATCTCGTTGTTGTTCTGCAAGGTAGAAATTTTCATGGAAGAATGAATACATTTTATAATGCCATTCTATATTCACATGCAACATAACCTTTTACTTACAACTTTTAAGTGTTCAACACTTACCTTTAAGGGTTGGAGCTTTCTTAAATAGGTTAAACATATTGAAAAAATTAATATAACTAATATTTTACTGAATCTACTTGACAGGAATTAAACTTATATTCGCTAGCTAAATGACCAATGTTTACACTGATGCATGTGACCTGTGACGTAAAGTCAGGCACGGTCAGGCAATGCTTTCTCTGGTTCTTCTGATGACTCACTAGAGGCCACAGTGTAAGATATCTGTATACCGTGCAGCGGCCGGGGAAGTGAATCGGTAGCGTTCCGTGCGCAAGACCTCATTGCGCGAAATTTGAATTCGAACTCACGCAGTACTTACTCAGAAAGCTCCTGCTGGTGTTCATTTTGATTATAAGTGCAAATAAACTTGTACCAACTATTTTTTAATGTCATAGTAAAAGCACTTGAAAGATTTATGTATTATATAATAGAAACTTCATGGTATAAAAAACACTTCATTGGAAGTCATTTGAAACACTTCCACTTACAAATGCAATAATGTATACAAATAGCTGGAAATGTACATATTAATGGCGCGAAAGATATTTCAAAACAATTACATTTCCTTGATTTTTGAAACAACAAAAGAGCAGCAAATGTCTTTTATGTCATAAAGAGTGCATTTAGTACTATCCCTACAAAAATATTGAAGAAAAAATTAGAGCAGTTTTTAAGAAAATTGCGTTTGAGCGTTTCTGAAAATGCGGAACTTTGAGCTCATTTTTACAGAAAACTTTTACGTTTTCGAGAAACTCTATCTGACCGCATTTAAAGTACAATCGTCTTCTATATTATTTCAGTAGTATATATACCTTTTGCGGCTCTCACACGCAACCGAGCTTCATAAATGAGGTCTCTAAAGGAAGAGAATTTCACGAAGACGATTCGAAATGCACTTTGCCTTTAAAAATATGACGGATTTGCTTAATAAAAACGCATCCAAATATTCATGTCAAATGCAACCCGCAGCACACAGTCAGATAACGTTTAATAACTCCTAAACTAAGCGTTTTAAGGTCTTGAAGACTAAAATTTTGAGAACATTGGTCTCAAAGTAACATTGTTCACACCGTAATCAATAGGATGAGATTTTCTTAAACATTCTATTGAGGTTTTTTTGGTTCGGCACTTATCGATACTATCAATGCCACCTATATTTCAACCCTTGGTGATGGTGGCCATTTTTGTGACGTCATACTTAAAAGGCTTAAGGCGCGTTTACACGGAGAGAGTTTTCTCTCCTAACTTTTCGCAACTGGTTAGGAGACACGTGTAAACTCTCAGGGAGAGCGATCTTCTCTCCGGAGACATGACGTCACAAGAGATTTTCGAAGTCTCCGCAAGAGAGCAGTGTACTCTGGAATCGATGAGGATCGTATCTCCTGGGAATAAATAGTATTCAAAGAGAGTGGAAGACTTTTTGCTCTCTTGGTATACGAATATTAGTGTGTTCACGTGCTCGATTAGCCATTCTGCGTCTGTCTGTGTCTGTGCGGCGTTCCAACGTGGTCGGTTGATTTTCTGTTCTTTGTGGGGAATTATATACTAGGGAATTATAAATACAAATGACAAAGAACTGTATGTATTTCCTGTGACCAAAAACCGCCGTACCGTCAAACCAAGTCTCTTTCGAAATAAATTCTTTTCCACTTTTCTTGCTTTTTGATTGCGTGAGATATTTCCTAATAAAAAATTCAAATTCTTCTGAAATTACGAAGATTTTGTACTTGACTACATTATTGTATATATATATATTTTTTATTACATCTTTTAATAAATTAAAACTTCAAATTACGGATCAATTGTAAATATTTGTTTTATAAAACCATAATTAGGTCTTCTCTTTTATATGCCTGCCCTAGGTGTAATGCCTCTTCCACCAAAATTAACAGATTTCAAATAATTCAAAATAATCTCCTTCGCAACATTTTACATCTTTCCTAGTTTATATCATAACACAAATTTACAGAGAACTTTAAATTGATTCTTTCAAATCGATATACTTAACTTCACTAAAAGTTTCTAAAACAAAATATCAACTTCACCCAGTTTTCAAACTTTTACATTATGTCAAAACTATTCCTCATGGACTCGACCACATTTTCCAAATAATATTTTAAATCCTCCGTAAATTAAAACTTGTTTTATTATTGTCTCTGAAAGAATGTAATGCAATTGAACAGGTAGCAAATAAATATTTTTTAAAAAATCTCTTCTTGCAATTCCGCTATCAAAGTTTTATAAACTCAGTTCTTCTTTCTCAATAAAACAAAATCACTCACAATTGTCTTCTTTCTTCATCCGCTTCTTCAAAATTGTGAAAGTGCCACAGGCAGCTGAAACAGTTGTCACATTCTAACCTCAAACTGCTCGCTGCTGCTTATTCAAGATGGCTGCGCCAGAGAACATCGAGAGACATTTGATAATACAAAAAATGGTTAAACAGCAAGGAGATACTTTTCCGGAGATATCTCAGGAACCAACTCTCCCGTGTGGTAGAAGACTCGCATTTCGGGAGATATTTCGAACCGTGTAAAGCCGTCTGAGAGAGTTTATCTCCGTGACGTCATGAAGTCAGGAGACTTTGTCTCTTCGTGTAAACGCACCTTTAGGCTTTCTATGTATTATCGGCGCAAGTTTTCTTGAGCCCTCGCTTCGCTAGTTGTGAGAGGAGTGGCGAGCTGGGTTATTTTGGGGAAAGGAATTTTACATCTAATTTATTGTTTCTTTTTCGATGCAAAACAGTTTCTATTTCACGGGAACGAACATTCTGGTTATAATATTTTGTCTAAAATGTTCGATGCTATAATTTATTCTTAATTCAATTAAGGAAAGGCAGAGACATTAGGAAAGGAGTGGGGGTAGGTATTCTGGGGCTTAAGAAAACGTGCGCGTATAATACACCGTGGTTTACGCAGACTGACATGATTTATTTGGATAATTATTAATTCAAGATTCGCTCTCGCAGCAACAACTAGAAGTACTACTGATTGCTTAATTCCCATGAAGATTGTTTCTTATTCATGTGGTGAAAGCATTAATTTACCACTTTGTCGAGGTCTATAAGTGCTGTGTACCTAATTGTGGAGGGATTTGGGAGTACAGTGAAGAATGAAGACGTGTCGTGTTAGGTTTGGTTTGTGTTTGACCTGTACCAGTACCAATTTTCGTTATCAGCAGTGATGTGGTGAAATTTTCAAGTCAGCATGTTCACTCACGTAGCTTTCTCAAGAGTAAAAAGCTTTTTTAATATTTTTGTGTCTCTCACGAAAAGCTTCCTGTCAAAGAATATTGAATAATTTACTTCACATATTTTTAAGGAAGTGTAGTGAATTGTTCCAAAAAACCTCTCGATAATACTGAATAAATCTTTATTGAAAATTTCTTTTCAACATCAATTGCTGTGTTTTTTTTATTTTAATATTGTGTTAGTATATTGGAAGTTACCTTTACACATTTTTAAACAAATAAAAATTCGTTAACACTTTTCCCTCTTAAAATGGAAATATAAGGATAGGGGAGAGTCTGGGGTTTAACGTGCGCGAGTTCTCGCACAGTTACACAGAGGTAGTAACGAAAAACGTGTGTTATGGCGCAACACCAGGAACAACAAACTTTTTAAATTAACTAAACAAAATTAGCTTGAAATAAATGAACAACAAAAATCAAAACGCTCTTCCTTCCATACTACAATACTACGTGAATTAATTTAAAAAAAGCAACCAAATTTAAAATTGTAGAAAAATAAGCGAAAGTCATTCGACAACTGTCAACGATCACAATTCAGACGCACGATTCAAATGTTGGCGGTGTCTGGAAATATGTATATCAAGTTTGTGATTAAACTTGTTTGTACAAGTTGTTATTAAACTTGAAGTGTCGGTTCGCTGAGATATCATGGGCAACATTCCTATGTACCGAAGTGAAGTCTAAGCCTACTGAATTGTTTCTAACGGTAACAAGTGATATTTATTACTCAAAGGTGAAGATATTGATTTTCTTATTTTTTTACTCAGAATTGCTTTTCTTGAGGTACGCATGATCGCAGAAAATAATACAATACTTTTTAGTATAAAAATAATTTTTGCACATAGCAGGCTGGCGTCCTCCCCCATCTGTTTCTCATAGTAAATCCAGGAATAATAATGCAATAAGGAAAATAATATTGCAGCGAGTAGGGTTGTACTTTCTCGATCCTGTATTTTCGCATGGAGAACTTTATTTGGCTTCCTCACGAGTAAAAACCTTTTCTAATATTATTGTGACTATCAAGCTAACTGTCAAGGAAGATTGAATAATTACTTCAAATGTTTTTTTTAAGGGAGTGTGAATTGTTCGAATAACATATTTATATAATACTGAATTGATTGAAACTTTTTTACAAATTTGCTTCCAACAATAATTGCATTGTTTTTTATTTTTGGGTGATATTTTTAAAATACGAAATTTTTGCATTTTTAAACAAATAACACGCTTTGTTAACAACGTTCCTTCTTAATGGAAATGGGTAGGAAAAGCGTGAGCATTATGATGCGAGAGTTCTACCACGGGTGCGCTATTCTTCTCCTATATTATTTCAGTAGTATACATACCTTTTAGGCACTCACACGCCACCAATATTGATAAAATGAGGTCTCTAAAGAAAGAAAATTTCACGGGGACGTGACAAATTTCACTTTTACTTTAAAAATGTGAAGAATTTGTAAAATTCTGCATCTAAATATTCACGTCAAATTCAACCTGCATAACTCGGCCCTAGTGTCAATATATATATATATATATATATATATATATATATATATATATATATATATATATAGTTAAATAACTTCTCAGGATAAAGACCAATGGCCTCAATCAATCGTTTTACGTGCCGTAATCTACTGAATAAGGTATTATTACAATTTCTGTTACATTTTTGCTGGTCCGACGCTTCGATATTATCCAATACCACTATATTACTCCGCGCTGGAGGCGACCTTTGTTTGTAGCTTATATGTATGATTTCTGTGAACATCGTGATGAATTTTCCGTGAACACTGTGATTTGTGCCGGCTGATGAGGTTTATTTGCAAAATATTTAATTCTAGATAATGTAAATAAACCTAAATACTCTCGCAGCAACAACTAGAAATAGTAGCTTGATACAAATGAAGTCTGCTTTTTATGTGTATAGTGCAACCGGTCATTTATCGAATGTAAGAAATGCTCTTCTTATTTCTGTGAAAAGTTTGTGATATACCCAAACTACACTATCTACTAAATCTGCGGAATCAGTGACCTACAGAATCTGCAACTGTATGTGAAATGAAACTAATTACTTGATATTCTAGGCTATTAAATTGCATGAGTGTACCTCTCAGTTCGGTAATGAAGAAAATAATATTCCAAAGAGTAGAGTTATGCTTGCCCGAACGTCTATTTTCACTTGGACAACTTGCAAGTTGGTTTAATATTAAGCTTTCAATAGTAGTACATTAAACCTCCAATACGGGTTTCAATTGTTCAAGAGATAAAAAAATAAGAATTTGCCCCGAAGCACTTTGGCCGGCGGCACTCTTGATGCGACATCGACAAACCGGAAAAAACGACACAAATGAAGTGAGTAAGAAAATACTGAAACATTCTTTTTTGGCATACTAATGCTCCACCAAGTTTCTTCGAGAGAACAGTTGTATTAGTTACCCCATGGGAGTTTCAAAATTAAAACTCTTCTGGAAAAACAAACTTTAAATTGTGACGTTGTTACAACAAAGGCATCAACGTTATAAACTAAGAATGATATATGAAAGAGAAACGTGCTGAACTGAATTTATATTATGTCATTAATTGTATTCATTTTATGTCAGTTTTTCGAACTAAAATTTCAAATGTCAAACCTATGCCAAATTGTATTTTGATCATATGTTTAGTGCTTAGAATTGGAATATTGGAAAGAAACGGGAAAATATGTTGTACTTGTAATATTATTTGACACCAGAATATCGTGATGAGAAAAACTAGCGATAAACAACAAATTGGTTTTCCTGCTATTTGTTAGGTGACGCAAGAGTGGATTTTTAATCGGATTTCTGCTGCAAACACCAGGACCTGAAATGCAGATGTCTCAGCTACAAAGATTACGAATTTCTAGAGCATGTAGGGAAGAGAGTTGATCACCTTTTGCCAAGGACCATGAGGAAACCTCATCGAGTTACGCTAATGCAATTTTGAATAAATCGAGCCTGATTGGCAACGCGTCCTGTCTTTCCATCAGGGACGGTTTTCAAAATTGGATATCACATTTAGTTATATTTTCCACCATATGTTCCTTGAACAAAAAAACGATCACTTTTGATTTCCCTACAAGTGCTAGAAGTTTTCAAATTGATTTTGAGACACACGATATGTGTGGTACGTAATCTCTCTGATGTGGTACTTGTGTATAAATTATCGGAATGTCTCAGGTGGGAGAATGGGGGGGTGAGTTTCTCTTACCTGCAAATTCCCCATTGGACTAGGCAATGTGAAGTTCTCGCTCACTAGTTAAGTTTTTTTAGCAGCACTTAAACTACCACACTTTTATACAAAATACACAATGTTCAGTCCTTCACACAACGTTCACTTTACTTAACAAATACAACTTATCCTCACTTATCTAGAATTCCGTGATATCTCAACAGTTGTTCGCGTACTGTGTATTGCAACAGTTACGGTCACTGCTTTGGCATCACAAATACATCGTGTGTTTGCGTAGTTGGTCTTTGCAAGGTGTATGCAATACGCGTAATATATTAATGATCATTGTCATGAACGTATGTACTCATCTATGCGCGTAATTTTCCACGCCTACTAACTTTATTGTAACATGTCACAAAATCAACATCTTCATGACAGCATCGATAAATGCCTACGTACCTACCACCGTGCTCGTTTAGCGACTTTACAAACTTACGTCTTCAGTTGCTCCTGCTTAATCACTTCTATTCACTATGTAACTTCACTATCTGTGCATGTCATCATAAGTTCAGTGGGGAATTTAGTTATTGTAATTATAATTTCTCGCAAAAGTACATGTTCTCGCAAAAGTAAGTCGATTCCCTTATGAAGGACATGAGGGATACTAGCCAAAATCTAAAGCTGATTTGCCATTGCAAATCGTTTTATTACACCGGAGAGAACATTTGATGAATGATTGCCAAAAACACATTTCCGTCTGCATGCAGAAATATATGGGTTAAGGTAGGGATTCCAGAATTTCAGAAAATGTGCACAGAATACACTTTTCACCGTAATACGTCAAGCACAGTTTTTGGCGTTAAATAAATATATAAATAAAAATACTTAGTTCACCATCATAAAAGGAAGACAAACACGCAATTTATTACGAAATAAAAATGACCTTAATAAAATGAATCTTAAAGATACTTAATTACAGTGTAGAATTTAAATCATTTTTACAAAATGTTAACAGAGACAAACGATACAAATATTTACAAGATATTATTAAAATACCATTATATAATCTCAAATAGTGTACTAATGATTAACTATTCCTACGAATTATGAGAAATGACATTCATATGTAGTATAACTATCAACAAGCATATGTACGTTTAGTTCACGTTGAAACAAATCGATGAATACTTTAATTACGTTACTAAATTAAGCTGCTTTCTTAGAAAGCAACACTTACGATGATACTATATATTAGATATCATAAAAGAACTTTGTTCGATGAATAAATAGACTTGCGTTTAATTTATGCTGAATGTTTCATTACCAGACATTCAATAACTGACAATTATGACCCATAGAGGTGAAGTTATGAGTAAGATTATTTATATTATAGTTATTAATAAGATAATTCATAATTATTCATCTACAATTATTTAACTTTTAAGACCTATATATTTTGAAAAATCGGAATTAGTGTTTTATCAGTGTAAAACTCTTTAAACGAGTACTACATTTTTATCAAATCACAATTTATTTTAGGTACTTGGCGGTTGCGAATCCGTTTCGATACCAAAATGAAACGAAAATAAAATGTGATTAAAATGAAGTATATGTATTAACAACGTATTTACGTACACAAAAATACTATAAAACGTTATTTATAACATTTTAACAGAAACGAGTGAATTACGAATTAACAATAATTCGTAGATATATGTTTCTAAAAATATATTAAATTGCATTAGTATCAACAGGATCATATCCTTTTTTTGGTCTAGATTCAATTTCCGGAGAAATCCCTTCAAGTTCCTTGAGTATGGAATCAATTGGTCGGTTCTTAGTTTCTGGTACAGCGGCAATGATAAAAGCTACCCCAAGAGCGCATGTTGTAGCAAATCCCCAATAACATGTATAAACACCCACTATATCCGCAACCGTATAGAAAAATTTGCCGATAATGAAGGACAATATACCAGGTATCGGACCGGAAACAGCCAAAGCGGTACTGACTAGCTTCGGAGAAAATATTTCCGTATACACCAACATCGAAATTGGGCCTAAACCGATATTAAAACCAATTATATAGACTGATAAACACACTAGAGTAACCCAACCAAACTTAGATGTATCCTCTCCTATGTGCTTGAGATAAAAGTATAGGCCCATGCCAAACAAACTCACAGCCATAAACACGTCAGAAATAATCAGCAAGATTTTCCTTCCCATGCGCTTGCACAAAAACACTGACACGATCGTCCCGACAAGCATCATGAAACCAACGACAATGGACGAAAGGTACGGCGACATGTTGCTTCCAGCTTCCTGAAAGATTTGGACGGTGTAACTGACGATGCAGAAGAGCCCAGAGAACTGCTGGTTGATCATGATGCCGATCATGATGATTCCAGCTCGCCTGGACGCCTTGCTGGTGAACAACTCCTTGAGAATGGAGGGCCCGCCGGGAACGTTGGCCTTCATAGATCTCAGCGACTCGTTCACGCAGTCTACCTCGGCCTGCACGTCGTAGCGAGGCCCTCTGAGGATGACGAGGGCGCTTCGCGCCTCGTCCTCGCGCCCTTTCATCAGAAGGTAGACGGGCGTCTCCGGCAGCCAGAAGAGGAGGACGAGGAAGAGCACGGCGGGCAGGGCGCACAGCCACGAGGTGGTGACGACAGAGCAGTAGGTGCCGATGACGTAGACGGCCAGCACGCCCACGTTGATGACGATGGTCATGAGCACGCCCAACGGGCCACGCGTCTCGTCGTCGGAGATCTCTCTGATGTACAGCGGCGTGAAGATGAAACCGAAGGCGCACGCCCAGCCCAGCAGCGATCGCGACACGTACCTGTGGAAAGAGTTATCGTAAGTAATACCATGTGGGCTTTGGAAATTGTTCGTAACTCCTCGACTCGCGAAGCGAGGATGGATCTATCTGAGAATTTCCAAAGCACGAGTGGTATTTAATAGGACTATTCCACGATTCATATTACATCCAACAGAGTTCAAAAATGCACTAAATATTGAAAATAACTGAAAGCATTTTAAAATAAAAGAGTTTTTTAGTACAAACGCAGCTTATTGCACATCAACACAGCAATCGATACATATCGCCTCCTATGATGTATATCGTTTTAGATGTCTAACTCCTACGATACAGCTTATTATTGGCCAGCAGAGAGGGGAGGTAAGAAAAATCGTATAGAAAAAGCGATACATTTTTTGAGATACACCGCCGTGACTTGTGCATTTTATATGTATAGTTAAACACTACGGGTTTTAATTTTACGAGAGGATTAGTCATTGGTAATAAAACGATCGCATTGGAAATATTCAATAATTTTACCAGGAAATTTCCAATGTAAGTATTGTATTTAATAAGACCATTCCATACTTCAAAATTCCCAAAATTCCCAACATTTTAACTATGTTAATGAAACGCGTGCTTTCAGTGCAACCGCATCACGTGACTGATATTATTGCAACTTATGATTGCCCATTGGGGAGAAGCGGTTAGAAAATTCAAATAGATAAAAACATTTTTAGATCCACCACTCTGATTAAGGTATGTCAGATGTGTTGATAAAAGGTATTGGTGTTAATTTCATGGGTGGAATAGTTTGTGTAAGTAATTGTCTTAGGGCGAGATGCATAATCTTATTATAAAGTATTATACCAATCGTTAGAATTATTTGTTCAAAAGGTTACATAATACAAATAATATGTTTAAACTCATTGAAATTAATTAGTGAATGCATACATCCTAGTATGCTCTGTGTAAACAGGTGACTCGTTATTAACTGGATTACCGTTAATGAAGGTATTGGTCTCACTGTCCTAAATAATTGATAAAGAAATTCTATTGTCGCCTTTTATAATCTGTAGCCCCCCTTGAATTTCCTTTTTATTATAGCAATGCGTAAGTTCAACATGATGCATTATAATACGTCAAATATTAACATCTTTTCTTTTGTCGAAGGCGAATTTATGCCAATTTATGCCGAAGGCCATTTATGCGTTCTTGTTACAGAGTGGAACAACTAAGTGATAACACCCCTTGAAACTTCTCAACCGTGCATGTTAAGAAGATGCCGTTTGAACAGTCGTTGCATCAATAGGGGCTACATGACTAAAACTTACTTCGTCTTTGCACCATTTTTTACTAAAAAGATATAAGATCAACTTTGTTTTTTAATTGGAACCCTACGCTAACTTTTAGGGCATTGTAATGGGGGTAAAAATACTATTTCAAATATGTGCATTAAAACGTGTACTTAAGCGAATGGTTTTTTAGAAACTGATATGTTTTTGTAACATATTTTTCCATTTAAGTGGCAATTTTCCTTTTAACTAAATGAGGAACTTTGCGAGGCAGTCCTTCTGACAAACGCGCTCGTTTATTTGAGCACAGTAACGACTACTTTCTCCGATACTAATTTTGCCGAAAGATGACTTCGCCAAGGAAGACTCAACTCCTGTGTACAAGTGCGGAATGCGGTATGCAGCGTTTGAGTCTTCCACAATAATATATACTTTTTACAAGAAGGAGCACATACATATTTTTCAAGTCATGCGAACACAAACATGGAAGCTGAGTAATTGAAAGGAATTGTGTAGATTCGGCCTTTGTCATCGTGCGCAGTGTGGCCAGAATTTGTGCAGCCCTACTTTAGAACTACATTGCTGTATCTGAAATTATCATCTTCAGTAGGAATCTAGGCTTTTCGCTTATTTGTACAGTCTATTTCGCCAATGTCATCGAGGTTGTGAGTTTTTCAGTTAACCAAATTTAGTGATAATTGCAAGGAAACATTCTCTCCTTGAAATGTAGGGAAATGTCAAGTTTTTAAGAGTAATGGTCTGTGATGGAAGATAATAATTCTCATAGTATTCGTTACTGGATGTAATTTGAATGAATAAATAATGAATGTAATTTTAAAAGCAGTTTTATGTGTGAGATACATACATGTATTTTATAAAACATCAGAAAAATATGACAGAAAAATAGTACATTTAAGATTGGTTACGTTACCATCGACGAACCAAAATATAATTTCTACTTCTTCGAATTTAATTTTCCTTTTATTTATATGATTTGAGAAATTGAAAATTTATATCCTATGTTCATTACTTAACAAATCACGAATTCAAATATTTGTCGTATATTTATTACAAATATTCCGATAATATATACTGTACGCGACACGGTTCCCTCGTCGTAAAAGTAAATTTTCCCAGTCACTTGTGAGTGACAGCGCTCAGTTGATATCCGCTCGAGGAAAAAAGCTTCCTTCTCCCGATAGTTGCATAAATGATTACGTAATGGGTAAAACCGGAATGCACCTAAGCAGGGAAGATCATAATTTTAAAACCAAAACACGTACGCAGCGATCTGATAAGGGCGAATTTTCCTTTATGTATAAAACAATAAACAACTGGAATAAATTATCTGTAGAAGCATGGCCGTGAAAGTGTATATGATGTAAAGTATATATGTACGTTACGTTAAATATATATGTTGCGTTCTTGTCTGTATTTTTCTTTAAAAACTAGTCTGTATGTGGTGATTAGGGCCGGTCAGATGGCAGAGATCGTTAGGGCAGTAGTGCCGTAGCGGTCCCGGGCCAGAAGACCGCGGGTTCGAGCCCCTCCTCGCGCATGGGTGAATTTGCGTATGTCTATGTGTGTGTGCCCGTCCTTTCATCCCTCACCATCACATCACATCGACCAAACCCCCAGGGATGACAACCTTGCGGGATAAAAATCGGGATTCAGCTAAAATCTTCGTTACAAAGGTACTTGCACCTGCTGAAGCAGGATGCACGCGTGGCACGAGTTGGCCTATACGCGAAGAAGAAAAACAATAGTGATTGTCGGTAGTAAAGTGTTATTTAAAGACTGTAAGAAGTAAAGTGAGTGCGTGGACATGAATCCGTCCTTGTGGGCGCGGGAACGTACGTAATGGCATTAGGTTCATTAGTGCTAGTTGGTACGTAAGAGGAGTAAGAATGCCTGCGAAGAGAAAAAAATATTTTTGCGCGCCAATAGGTATCAACTGGGAAGAGGATAAGCCAATACCGAAAAGCTAGCCTAGACCATTGTAGAACTAACTAGTGGGAGAAAGTGTGTGCCATTCTGTTCACCACTCCTTAATGAAATTAATTCTTCAAAGAGGTGTTAAGAGTTAAGTAACATTTTTCGAAAATATAAGTTTTTGAGTGATTTTTCGTGAAATATAGGGAATTCGAAAGAAAAATAAGTTTCACAACAACGAGCCTAAACTTTTTCTCTGTTTTTTTCTCGAATAGAGCAAATTATACTGATAAAAACAACACATGGTCTATTTTCAGTAATCTCTATATTTTTATAATTGAAAGGAAATATCATTACAAAAAGTGAAATATCGATGCTAAAAGATTGTTCCATAATTAAATATTTTTATAAAATTAGATTTTTAAATAATATCACTTTTAGTTTTATGAAGAGTAATTTTGGGGTAATTTTTCATTGAAGTATCTATATCCGCCTCCCCAAACGCTTCAAATATTAATTTTGAATGTTTTTTCCTTGTGATAGAGCAAAGGTAGCTTAGAAAAGGGCAAGGTCTAAATTTTGTTGAACTCTGAATTTTCAAAAATTTCAAATGTTTCAAAAAATGAGAAAATATGTGATGTTGCAACACTATTCCTAATAAAAATATAATTTCCAAACCCATGGTGAATTATACTGCAACGTCTCGTTCTCTCATGGTCTCTTTCTTCTTGCTTCTTTGTGAAGACCTCCTGGTCAATCCCACTCAAAAGTATTTTGCTCAGGAAGCGAAGGAGTAATTGATTGCATGCTTGTCATAGTGGAGATTCCTGTACGTCTCCTAATGTTTGCAGATTAACCCTTATGTAATGACACCAGAGTTGCCAAATCGTTTTCAGACCCCAGTCGAAACTTACACTCTGAGATTTTTTTCCGACTTCAAATTCTTATTGTTATTTTCTTGACCCGTGTCAAATTTTTCTCAAGACTTTCTGTAAATAACGCATTTTGTTGTTTACGAAATAAATTTGCTGCTGGTGAACGTACTGGTAAGTAAAACGAATTTATATAATTGAAAACAATTGATTACAGGAAATGATTGCACGTATCTCATTTTATAATTGCATATATCATTTTCTACTTTTAAATAGTTCTTAATTGAGTACATCTCCTACTCTTACCATAACTATTTTGTTTAAGATTTCAATATTAATTACTGCAATGGAACCTTTCTTGAATAAAAAGTGAAAGAGAATTCAATTTCGAGTAATCGAATACTTTAATTAAGGTACCGGCTAGTGCACTACACACTAGCGCACGTGTCCGGAGACCTGTCGGGAGCCGAGAGCTTCCCCGGGCTGGGAGCGGCGCCCGGTTAGCGGAAGTACCCGAGCGGCAAGGCGACGTGTAGATCGGCGCCGGATCTCACGAACTTACAGGTGACGATCACCACCACCCCCTCCCAAGATAGAACATCCACTACTCTTACAGAACTAAATACCGTAGCAGTTAACGCCTCGCGCGTACTCACAAGGTTTCGATGGTGAGGCTGAACGCCGGCAAGAGGTTGCTGAACACGTGCAACGCGCCGGTGAGGTAGCCGACGGACTTGCGGCCCCAGCGCTCGCACGCCACTGCGACGAGCGGGGCGACGGGGATGCCCGTGATGGTGAGCAGGGTGGCGAGCCACGTCGAGTCCTCGAGCGAGAGCGTGCCGCTGGCGAGGGGGCTTTCCTCCGGGGACATGAGGTGCGGCAATACCGTCGCCGGCCACCCGGCCGCCAGCCCGTAGTTGAACATCAGCAGGCTCACTGCGCAGACACGCACGCATTGAAGAGGCACTTTTCTCTCTACCTTTAAATTTTTTCGCGATGAAGAGGCACTTTTCTCTATACATTAACTTTTTCGCGATGACGAGGCACTTTCCTCTACTCATTTAAGTTTTTCGAGATGAAGAGGCACTTCTCTATACATTAAAATTGTTCGCGATGAAGGGGCACTTTCCTCCATACCTTTAAATGTTTCGCGATGAACAAGCACTTTCCTCTATACCTTTAAATTTATCGCGATGAAGAGGCACTTTCCTCTATACCTTTAAATTTATCGCTATGAAGAGGCACTTTGCTCTATACATTTAAATGTTTCGCGATGAAGAGGCACTTTCCTCTATTCATTAAAATTTTTCGCGATGAAAAGGCACTTTACTCCATACCTTTAAGTGTTTCGCGATGAACAAGCACTTTCCTCTATACCTTTAAATTTATCGCGATGAAGAGGCACTTTTGCATTTAAATTTTTCGCGATGAATAGGCACATTCTCATACAGTTCCATTTTCACATCTGCAAGTTTGCGCATATGCCACAGGATGAAGATGCAGATTCCGATACAGCTATTTTAAACATCAGAACTTTTGCATAAGTTACAGAATGCAGATACAAAATCCTATATCATGAATATCACAAATCAGTGGACGTTATGAACACAACCCAGTATAAAGATTCAAATTCCGATACAGAGTATTCTATCGTTAATTTTCATTAATTAAAAAAAAATTGTTGAGACTTCTTGTAAAGTACCCCTCAAAATCAAAATTGCGAGTTTGAAATGACTGTGTCTCCAGTTCGTTTAGATCGAATTTCAATGAAGAGAAAATCGTTTGAACGGTTTAGGTATTAGCGTTGCCCATACTGGCGGAGGGACGGACAGACTAGCTTGTTTTTTGGCTGTCAGGGACACGTCGCGCTCTAGGTACAGGTGCCAACGTTTCAGCCGCCATCCGCGACCTTCCTCGCCCGGTGGAAGGTTCGCAGAATGGCGGCCGAAATGTTGGCACCCGTGCCTAGGACGTCTGACGTGCGTCTCCTGGACTGCCTAGTAGCTACCGACCCCGACCGCGGAAGCCTACGGTCTCAGACAATTTTATTTGCCGTCAATCGATTTTTCCATACCAAGGACCCACAAAACAAGGATTATGAACTACATAGCCTGTTAGATGATGTAATTTACTGCATATAGAAATAAGATTTATCCGAATTTTCCTTACCAGGTCTCGGCAATAAGAGTTTTCCTGTCGAAAAGTCCGTTTTCCGTACCACCAGGACAATGATTTCTCTTCTGTATAGTAGATTATCTTACTATTTAGTAAGGCGAGAGATGGAGAGGCGAGTTATGATTGTAATTCCTATTGCTTATTTAGAACGTGGTTTCTATTTATCGTCAGTGAATATTTATTGATATCAAATATTGCCAAGATCACTTGTTGCTAAATTATTCCATATTCAACTATAAAGTACGAGTCATTTCAGAAGGCAAATACTTCACCATTTTCTTCTCACTTAGATGAATAGATGCTTCTAACGCCTTTTGGCAGAGAGATGCTACGTTTCTACAAGCATTTCTTCGACGATTTTTCTTTTACAAATACCAAAATGTTAGGGTGATAATGAGGAGAGTTCCAAGTATTTTGAAAGAAAATAGTGGTGCTACAAAAATGGCACAGACTTTCTCTTGTTAGTTTTCTACTTTTTTTTTGGTCTGGGCTACCTTTACTGTCATGCTATAAATGTCATATTCCTCTTTCCAAAACTATGACAAATTCGATATTCCTCTATTCTTATGTTTCTTCAAAAATTTCAAAAATGCATTTTTTACTAGTCTCTCATGTCGTTACTATTTAAATTATCTGCGATTCCTTTACGTTATTGCATTTAAGAGCACGTGTGCATTAAAAAATGTCATATAAAGTTTCGCAAAAAACGCAAATATTGTTGCCAGTCGCTTCTGTGACGAATTCTGAATTTTCGAAACACGCAAAAAGTTGTCATTTGAAAACTACACAATTTAAGCTGCTCTTTAGGAAAGGATATGTGCAATTATTTGAAAAAACTAATTATTTTCCGCAATTTCTGCTCGATATTAATGAAATTTATAAAAAAACAACACTTTCTCAAAACCGTCGAGCTTTTTTTTTTTCAATTTTTTTCCACGAATAAAACAAGGGGCGCTTCAAAGAATGACGCAAGTTTCATTTTTGAACTATCTGAATGTGCGAAATTGCAAATTAGGTAATAATGAGATAAATAAGAAATAATTGCATCACTATTTTCGTATAGTGCTAAAATTGCATTTCGTATAGGCATAGTTGCTATAATTTTGTTCGGTTATCGCCGTATCCGTCGCCACTGACGTGCATTTTATATTCATTTGCTTCTATGTAAACGTTAATGTGATGACGCCGAAAGTTTACTAAAACCAACCTCATTCCCGGCAACATCCCGAAAGCATGCAAAGTACCGTGTCCTCTTTTCCATGTTCGGTGAAAAACGAAACGCACTGTCGCGTACATTCACATATATCAAGAAGAACTGTTTGTAACGGTGAAGAAAGTTGAAGAGGCAATGCTGCTTGATGTGGCAATACACAACCAGGCCCGAAGACGCGCCTTGAGGTGTCAGTTCTAACATTCATTTTATCTTGCGTGGTATCGGTAGCTCAGCCAAAGGGCATTCTTTTTCTCACAATCTTAAAGATAAAAATAGACGGAGTGAGGGAATTGAGACGACTACAGCATAGGGAAAGATTTATACATATAAAATTGTTTAACAACAATAGTAGGGTCAAAGATTTCCAAAGGAAATTAATCTTCCATGAGAAAAGAAGACATTCCAAAAATATATATTAAATGAGAGGGAAAAATGCTGAATGCCTATTGAAGAGATGAAAGATCACTTGGGACACGAAACAATGTAAGTAAGATTAATTTTCTCGAATTTTTATTCAAAGATTGGAAATTTTAATTATCAACAAATAACTGGACCAATTGAAATTCATTGTTCGTAAATATAAGTGCTCCAGATTTGAAGTAATTGATAAAAACACTAAAATTTTACCTTAATCATACCCATATTTTTGAAATGAAGTTCCCAAGTATCTAGTTGATAAATTTTAATGAAATTGTAAAATCATTGCGGATCTGTACCTGTAGTGCTCGCATGTAGTCCTGCTCTCCTGAGCCAATGGACATTAAATATAAATGACATTTTTGCGAATTTCAAATAATAAAATGATAGTAAACCAGTCTTCAGATTAGAGAAAACACAATTTTCTATACGGTACTATGTGTAATAGATTAGTTTCTCAGTAATATTTTGCCTGACTGCCCAGCAAGTATTAACGGAGACTGCATAAGAAACCTGTAAACCCCGAGGCGCGTTTTTTGTGCGAACAGTTTCCGTAGAAACCTACAGAAAATCGTAACACAGTTAAGTTGTTACCAGTAGACTATTTTCAGTAATAGTTATTTCGTTTAATTAATATTTTCAGATGAATTCAGAACGTACTAGACAAAATCTGACATTCCCCTTAATTCAGTTTCCAAATCTCTTTAACTGAAGTAGCGGCAACATGATTGAATACTCTTGTTTCAGGGAATAACGGGTTTCCACATTTAATGAGATAAAAGTATTTCTGTATTTTTGGTGCCTTTCGGAGACATACAGAAGGCATATAAAACAAACACAACGGCTTCACCGTTCTATTTGCGGCGCGAATTCAAATAAGCAATAATGCAGTGTTTACTGCGTACTAGGCTACATTTCGGAAAACATTGTGGTACCACTCAACCAACAAATGAGTCTCCTTTAAAAATCGAAGGTGATATTTTTATTTGTCTCTGGAAAGATGATGTTAGTGATAACATAACAGTGATTTTTTTAGGTTACTTTTATTGAATCTTTCCGATGAAGAGTGAACTCGGTACCTTGAATGGTTGTAACATACGAGGGCTTCGCCAAGGTTTCTATTGAATGGAAAATTTAACTGATGTGATTGCCAAGTCCGTTGCGCTGTACTACGCCGTGCAGCTTTATGAGTAATCACCGTTTTACCTTCCACCGCAACGCACTTTCTGCTAGTTGCATGACGCCGAATGCCATCACTGTTTTGTGGGGTTAAATAAAACTGCTGAGTGTGCTTTCTGAAGATCTACCTATTCGTGAAAACAAACAACAGGGATCCATTTAAAAAATGAAGTTAGATCAGTATTTTTAAAATTAAAATGCTACAGAAAAGCTATTTACCACAATTGTTGACCCCCAGTGTCCTGAATAGTAGAGTGAAAATTCCATCCCAATCAGAGACGAGAGAGATGTAGATGCTCTCATTGACTAATCTTGAATAAATAAAAAAATATTCATTTTTCTAAAAAAGTAGCTTCATCTTGTCGGCACCAGCGAAATTGAGTTTGAAAACGACTTGGCAGTCAACACATTAAAACCAAATGTAAACAAAAGTTTATAAAATTACATAAAACACAAATTGAATCAGATAAAATATGCAAATGTGGAGTGATACAAGTGCACACTTAAATAAACTGCAGACAATACAACGTAATTCACACTTTGTTGCATTAATAACTGACTGGCAACTTTTGTGTATTGTAAAACATTACTCTAATTCCTTTCTCTAAGTACATTTCCAAAATAATGTTACTTATTGGGATGAAAACCATTTTACTGTCTCTTTACCGATTAAATAGTAGAAATTTATTTAATACTTGCGCAAAAAACGGCGACTTTGCGGCAGATAAACTCTTATTGCCGGGGGCTCTGGTAACGAAAAATTGGATAAATGCAGTTGCTTAAGTTAGAAAAACTAGTGGTGCTAAAACAGCACGTACTTTCTCAACTTTAGTAAAAGTTATTTAGTAATATTTATACTAGTTTTGTAATACAATTTTGTTTCAATAAATTATAAAAATGAACGAATGTTTAATCATTTGAAACGTTAGCTATTCCATGTCCTTTACATGAA